GTAAGTTGCATACCTGGCTTCACAACGCCCGAGCAGCCCTCAGCGGTGCACATGGGAACCCGCTTTGCCATTATCTCATCTGCAAGAATAAATTCGTAAGGGAAACTTTAGGCAGAAAGGCATACCCTTCATGTAGTCGAAATCATGAAGTTGGCGACATTTTCGACAATGACCAGTATAGAAAGATCCGTGGGCTTCAACAATCTTATTCGCGGGCAACCCAGATATCCGTTCAAGGGTGTCCACATTCTAAGTTTGCAAATAACATGCTGAGGTGACTAACCTGAGTAAAGTGACGACGCAGAAGGCCTTTTTCGTGAAGTAAACGGATGAAGTAATGCGCAGTGGTCGGCTATCGAGGAAGTTTAGTAAAGAAATCGAAAGGAAACCTTTGCGTAGGGACGATAGAGCCGTCTAGCAACCTCGAAAAAGGGCTTTGGATCATGCTAAAACCGAGTACGTTAGCGAAAGATAAATGACAAAAATGACTTGCATTGAAGTAGTCCAAGGTAAACACGGCCATCGGAGAGGGCAGGTTGTATTCTTCCAAGTTGTCGTATATGCCCGTGCTGGGACTTCGGAAGTCCGGAATGCCTGCAGCTATACAAGAAACATTGGTGATAACAGTTGCAATTAAGCACATATGATAAGGGTGAAGTGTGGATATACACTTCAGATGATTCAGACAATGAATAGCTACGCAACTCCAAGGACGGCAGAGGGTGCATCACAATTCCTGTCGCCCATTCTATTCAACTACGCCATTGATTGGATTCTCGGAAGGCTTTACGTAAAGAGGACGGTTTTCAGCGTGCACCCGGATGCCGGCTGACTGATCGCCGATGATATCGCTTCAAGCTTTGATGATCTACAGTCTTTAGTGTCAGGGGTAAACGAGATCGCTATGCCGATTAGCTTTTTAGCTCGCAAGACCCAATTATTCTCGAGCTGCATCTCCGACCAAAAGAAGGCATCCCTGGGGATTAATGACCATTGTTTTGAAGAAGTAGATAGCTTTCAATACCTCCGAGCGAGGCTGCTGCCAAATGGACAGAGTAAGGACGGCATTTCCTTTCGAACGGGTGCTGCTCGCCAGGTTTTCTCAATCCTCCGAAAGCGCCTGTGGATTAGATACGAGATCTCCATCACCACGAACACCCGTGTGTACCGCGCATTTGTGAATGTGAATGCTGGGCATTGTGCGTTGAGGATGAGCGAAGACTGGGGGTATTTGACCACCGCTGCCTGAGAGCAATCCTTTGACTGAAGTGTAAAGACTTCGTCTCAAACGGGACAGTGCGCACCCACTTCGATAGTATCGCGAGGATATCTCAGGCCATCCAAGAAAGACGAGTGAGGTGGTTTGGGTATGTTCACCGTCGTTCACCCTACGACCTTTGTTATGCTACCCTCGCTCCAAAGTGCAACCCTCCTGGAGGCGTCTACGAGGAGGACAATTCAAGACTTGTCTCGACACCGTTAATCAAGACATGAAAGCGGTTCTCGGACCTTCGGTAATTATTTGTAACAAGCATATACGGCAGAATTTATTGATCAAACAAATGTCGTGACTGCTCATCAGCTGCTGCCTGTCTTTGCG